CTTTTAAGCTGATGGTCTGAAATTCCTTATCTGGCATGTGCTCCTCCTCAACGTCAAAAATCTAAGTCTTCGTCACGACCATGACTGTGACAAAGTAACAATGTTGAACAGAGTTAAGCAATCTTATGTCTCAGTGGAATTAAGTTTGGGGGGCCTTTAGCCTTTTATTCGTCTCATAATTTGCTCTACAAGCTCTCTTTTTCTTATATGGACTTATTTCGTTGTCCTCAGTTTGTAGAAACGGAAATACTTCAAGAGAACCTAGTTGCTGCCTAGGTTACACATACTCTCTGACAATCCTCCTTTTTCTAAAAAAGAAACCTTCAAATTTCTTATTAAAACCTTGTCTCTATCTCTCTATCTTCCTCCCACTCTTTTTCTCCTAATCTCTCTCTCTCTCTTGCAGATCTTAAGCTGGTTTTAAAAAGATTAGGCTTGCTAACACTTTTTTCACGTAGAAACAACTTTAATTTACTCTTCATTATGTATTAACTACAGATTTTTTTTTTATATTGTAGTGCTTTACGTCCAGCTTCTATAAAGGGCACTACTGAGGGCACTTAGCACTATGGAGAAGGAAGGGAAGAGGGATTAGGAGGCCTCCCAATACTGGGAGGGGGGTATGGGGAAATTAGGCAATTTTGCCGCGAGAAGGTCACCTAACACCCACCTCGAGGAGCATTTCAGGGTGAAAAAGCACATGTAAAAAATCACAGAGGAACTTGCCCGAAAAAGTCGCACTATGGCCGGGAATCGAACCACGGTCTCCCGCGTGCCAATCCACGACCTAACCGACCGAGCTACCACGCGCTCTTATTAACTACAGATAGATCTGCATACCTAAAAGACTTTTTCAGGTCAACTCATAATCTACGTAGATAAGAGCAACATGTTGTATCTGGGCTCCATAAAACAGTGATTTCTACCAAAGTATATAAGCGCTTATTTACTGTGATGGCAACTGCTTTCTAAAAAAACTTCCATACCATACTAAACGGTCTAAAGCTTTTGCAGTATTTAAAAAGGCATTGTTTTAAATCTTGTTTTTGAAACGAATTAGTTCAATCCTAAGAGCTTCAAATAAATGTAGAAGCATTTTTATTAGTTTAAGAATTAGGCATTTTACATTAATTTATAACAAGTTATATCTTGTAAATTTTTCAAGTATATTAAACAATCATAGTTACAAATATGATTGATATAAATAGATCTGTAGGCTTCAAGTGGATACTGAACTATCTCCATTAAACGAATAATCTTTTCCAGTTAACCCTCTTTCCCAGAAGCAGAATCCAGGTGAGCTCAAGAAATAGAAACAGATGTACCGAAAGAGTTATGTCTATTGTTCCAAAACCTCTTGAAACTCTGTTTCTTCACCTAAAAATATAGAAAGATGCTAACGCAGCGTTAACAAATCTCGATTACGTACGTCACTTTTAGCCTTCTTGCACTTTAGGTTTGTCTCCTAAAAAGGGGAATTAGCGCAGAAGTTCTCCCGTTCTACGGGGAGAACTTTTAAATCAACTCAAACAAATATCTTCCTCTATTCATTTCTTCAATTATTTACACTAATACATAGTATCTCTTTACATAATACGTGACACAACGCTTCACATCGTCCTTTGGACTGCGCTGCAGCAACTCTGCCTCGCACCACGCGAGCCACGAGCACACGTGCACCACGTCCTGCTCCTCGTAGATTACGCTACAATGCACACTCACTCACGCCGTCCTCAATCCCACACACTACTATATTCTCTTTCTCTCACTATCTACGCTACACTCTCTCTCTCTCTCTCTCTCTCTCTCTCTCTCTCTCTCTCTCTCTCTCTAGCCTAATCTCCTAGTCAAACGTCCGCAAGTCCAACCCAGTGCAAAGTCGTCTGGGGTCCTCGCGCGAATCGTTCGTCCTACGGCTTTACTCTTTCTCTTTTCTCTCTCTCTTTTCCTAATCTTTTCGTCTTAGCAGCTTCCGTAGTCCTCGACATAGAGACCTCTTTACCCTGGGAGAACAGAGCAGCTGCTAGACTCGCACGCACACCTCTCTTCTCTCAACACTCTACGCACCTTCTCGAAAACTCTCAACTTTCTCTCTCCCTGTCACTTGTCTCTCGCCACGAAAACCCGTAAACTGCTGAAACACTTGCTGCTCACACTCAGGCGCACAGCTTAAAACTCTCCTCGACACTGACTCGCCAGTTCTTGCTTGAACAATGGCTACCTCTGCTGCTGCTGCCGCTGCTGCTACCACGTATCTCCCCTCGCAGTCACTCTTGGCATAGCAGCTACTGTGTCCTGGTAGTTGCTTTCATATTTTTCTTGTACTTTTTTTTCTGGCACTGCTGTGTATCTGCAGCTTATCTGGTTGTCCATTAGCCTCCCCTTTTCCTCCTCTTAGTGTATATACAACTCCCAAAAAACAAACTAATTCAGAGAAGCTTTGACTTTATGTTCTTTGTATATACGTTGCATGAGCGAAAGCATTTGAGAACATGGAGGCCATTTTTGCATCGTTACACTCTTTTATTTAATGTACAGCAGAAGTGTTACAGATATAATTAGTTTTAATTTTAATGACATCTATGAACCAATTATTCATTACTCACGGCTTTGCCCGAGACTCACTGAATGAACCACCATAGTGGGTTGACATGTAATGTAAAATTTTTTCAGTTAAAAACTTTGCATCTATTCTTAATATTTTTTAGAACAAAAAAGATTTTATTAAAAACATTTATGTTGATAATCCATGCAATTTATTTGCCATTACCATTGCCAATTACTAGAACAACAAAGTCCTGGAGCTTAACCTCTCCGTTTCTTATTGCCACAGAATAAGAATATATTTTATCCAAAGTATTTGAAAATCTGGAAGAAGTAAGTGATGACTATCATCAGAGTTATAATAGAAAGCTGACCTCTCACGTATTCTCTTACTCCTATTGCAGGTAACTTATTTTTGCAAGTCTTTGAGCTTATTTATTGCTGCGATCGTGATAGCACAACGGTAGAGTTGTAGCTCCGTCGATCTCCGAGGTTAAGCTTTATTTACAACGGTTAGTACTTAGATGGGTAATCGTCTGGTCACCATTTAAGTCTCGCCCTTTCACCTGTGCTCTTAATTCTCAAAGGTCGGTTAACTGTCTCTCTGACACTTCATCTACGTGATTATAGGTATGATTGAGTTTGTCCAGAAGTTTATATACGTATATAAACACCTGGTCATAACTCAGGTGCACCGATGGCTAATTAGCACTATACTTGTGTAAAAAAAATGCCATGTCTGAGCCTACGGGCGATGATGAATAAAAGAAGGGCTTATTCATTGCTCTTGTTAATAATTTTTTCTACATAAAAACTATACTTTAACCATCTAGAAAGTGTAAAGAATTAGTATGCAAAACTTCAGCCAGATCAGTTAAGTAGTTCTTATGGTTAGTGGTTACAACAGTATTATCGACTTTTGGATTCAAATATTAGTAAATTAAAGGTTTTTTCCATACCATATACGCTCAAGAACTATCAAAATTTTATGAGGTATAAGATTTCATGAGATGTGTAATCTCTCAGCGTTGACTACGTGTGCTGATGTGCGTGTCAACCGTTACTAAAGTAAACTACGAAGTTTTGCTTAATAAAGTGACTCTATGAAATTGATTAAGGGAGTAGCTAAGTTAATGAAAAATAACATTGAAAACAATAACCACTTACCCTCTAGCGGTCAAAAGTTGAAACATCTTTTCAGAGCTGTTTTGCAGTTAGTTTTTGTAAGTAGCATAGAAACATTTCTATAAAAGTTATCGTTAATTACAGTAGCCTATGATACATTAAAAGTTGTAATCGAATTTCTTTCAAAGCTTAGGATCAATTGGTTCAGTAGTTTTTAAGATCTTCGAGAACATACAAACAATTGCCGTCTTCTTATATAATAGTATGACTCAAATCATACAGAATTGCATATGTGTTGAGTGGCTAAAATAACAACAGATGATACTAATAAAATACTTTAAGATGCAGATGATTATACTGTCAAACTTTTTATTTGACAAATAACGTTTCAGTCCGTACAAAACAAGTTCCAGGCCCTTATCAGGTTAAATGATTGTGCTAACGTTGCTTGCTATTTAACCAATAATTACACCTGATGAAAGCCTTGAACTTATTGTGTTGGGCCCAAAACGTTGCTTAATTAATCTAAAGTTCGACAGCAGAATCATCTGCGACAATAATTTCTTTATCTAGAGTTGAATATAGACTATGCAACTATGAAATAAAACGAAACAAAAACTGAACTTAAGTGGCTTAAATTATCTACTATAGAATTATAATAGTGACAGCAAGAAACAAAAAATCTGAAAAAATATTTGAGTAATCATCTGGTTCTCGAGAAAAAAATAACGAACTTGGCTGCCTTCATAAAACACTTTCAAAATTATTTAACGTAACAAACAGTGCTATGAGTATTATCTTGCTGATGTGAGTAGCAGAATGTACAAGTTATACTAAAAAACCGTCTTTTAGTTATATGAAACTATACTTACGGTGAAAACTGGCCAAAAATACCATGCAGTCCCTGATTTATAAAAAAAACCTTATAAATAACTAACATCTTTAATTAAAATCATATTTTGTCTATCACCGCTAACAGCTTATGTTTTTGTGTCTGTATGACATAACCTTCTAATTTTTGAATTTAGTTAATCGCAATCTTTCAAGCTTATGTACGCAAAGAAAAAGCGTATGGAACTCAAACATCAAATAAACTACCACCGTCTTTACCATTGTCGTTTTTGGCCATCAGCCACTGAGGCAATGACTTCTTTATTTTTGAATTCAGGCATGTAGATTACTTTTTTAATTCTTGAAAAGTGTAAAATTGTAGATATTTGCACTACTTATTATAAATCTTTATTAAAAAAACATCCTTTAACTAAAAAAAAAAAAATGTTAGTTGTTACATTATTTTTTTCTTTTTCATAATTTCTGATAAAATCTTCCAGAGAATATTATTTTACTACTGCTGCATGGATCTCCCCAACAGAGGTGTGTATCACTTGGCTAAATCGTTTCCAAAATCTATCAGTTGTCTCGATTTGTAAGAGTCCATTGTGGAAATGCCAGGTGAGTAATACTTACAAAAAATTTATAAGTTTAAGAAAACTTCGGTTTCAACAATTTAAGAATACTTATAAAAACATCTGTAAATGGTAACTACATGTATGCATTGTGTTTTATTCACGAAAAACTATTTTGAACAAGGCTAATATCGCTTTTGGTGTGCAATGAATAAAACATTAAGCTTTGTTTTTTTACAAAAGGTTTTTTGCACAACATTCTTTAAAATCAATTAAACTTTAATTGCATTTCACTATTTATGTAAGTTTAATTATATGAAAGTTAACATTTTTTTTCTCGAATATTTTTTCTAGTAAAGGAAAAATGTTTTAGTGAAAATGTCTCTGTACATAAATTATAGTTGAACTAGCTTCACAAAGAGCATAGCTTATTCTTGTAGTAAGAAACCTCAAATATAATTGTGGCAGGAGAAGGCAAATTCATACTTTGAACTTTAAATGCTGAGAATCAGAGTATCTGTGTTATCAGTGAGCAATTTAATTTACTTCTCAAAAAAAATATAAATTATAATAACATCAACCTATTTTTTGGTTACAAATCCAACCAGTCATCGTATCACAAGGGTGCTATACGTCTCAAAAAATAAATTCTGATACCAAACCTAGACATTTTTATAAATTCCATAGTAAACAATAAATGGCAACATGCACTTGGGTGGGAGGTGATGACTTTATATGTAACGCTGTTTTCAAACATTATGAATCTTGACTTTTGAGCAAATTTTTTTTATTACTTTGTTGTGCAGTCTAATTTACAAAACAAACGGCCTATAGGAAACAATAAGAAGACCAATGGTCAAAAAACAAGCATGTTCAGAATAGCATCATTTCTATTATTATTTCTTTTTAAACTTTAATTTTAGAGTGATTGTCTTGTACCTAAATAATAATAAGTATATTTGTACTTTAGTGCTAAACAACAGTTTATCCAAGGAATTATTAAAGTAGGAAAAAAATGTATAATAGCTCTTAAAGTGAACAGTTTATCGTATTTAGGAGGAGCTAACAACTATTGTAGTCGCTTAAGATGGATAATGTTGCATGATCCCCAATCGTACATCAGATTTATAATACTCAAAAAAATTTTATATCCGATAACGTGAATTTTTTTTATATGATCTGAGCTTTATAGTTTCTACACAAATACAATAAATGCATGGATGCTAATAATGGTGGCTTACCTAAGCATGGACTTTAAGGTTTCTCATGCACCTTCTAAACTCGTCCCCACACACAACCTCTCACTCTTATTCTTTCTCTCTTTCTCTCTCTAGAAAATCTGGCCTTCTGATCTGACATCCACAAGTTTTAACCCAGCGTAGTAGTATTCAGGGGCCTTTATCTTAACTAGCATTCTCTTGCTTTTCTTAGCTTACTCTTTTACACTCTTTTACACTCTTTTAATTCCTGTCCACTTTCATTGTCCTAAACTTTTGGCTTGGTTATTGACCTAGAAAAACACAGAAATTTTACACACACCTTCCTTTTCTCCCTCTCTCTTCCCCCTCTCTTTGATAAGTCTACTGATTAGACGTGTTGTTGTGTGCTTTTGTCTTTTATAGTGCCTAGTACATTTTTGATACCTCTCGTGGAGTTTATTCATTTATGAGAATTTTTTCATTTTTAAAATTATTTTTCTTCATTTATTTATTTAGAAGAATTAACCAGAAGTCTGGAAGGCATACACTTTACATTCTACGGTCATATCAACCTTCTAGGGACTGTTTGTGTCAATTTCATTCTGACTAGTATTTTCTAACCTCTACTATCCTGGTGGCTGTGGACTTTAATGTTGACCTGCACCATCACGGTTGATTTTCAAAGGTTAGTAACCTATTGTTATCTACTAACTCACTATTGCCTGGTTGTTGATCTTAGACAGGCTAGGACACAGTGGGTCTTTTACGAGGTGACACCACAGAAGTCAAATACTTAAGTCAAGGGAATTACTGAATGAGTGTATTTACATGTGAATGTAAAATATTCGTGTACTGTAAATAATGTCATAGGTATAAAAACACCAATTTTTTTCCATACATTAGAAGTTCGTAAGAATCCTGCACTCTATGGCAAATCTTAAAGCAAATGCGTGTCATTGGCAAAACTAAGACCACACACAATAAAATAGATTATTACTTCCTAATTACAGAAAATGGACCTTCGCTTATCCCTGCTGACCTATTAGGTACCCTTTTTATACCATTACCTGGTGATTCTAATAAGATTGTTACTTTTAAAGTAGCAGCTGAAACAGATATTCTGAAACAACATTTAAATCAGCAGAAGCCGATGATCTTTCTGTTTCCATAATTAAAATTCTTACACCACAAATCGTTTACCCACTATAGTCTCTTATTAATTATTTTATTAATATTACACATTACCCTCAATTATGAAAATTGGTGACAATAACACCTATGATCAAAACCAAAGTCCCTTTGTTTCGAGCTGGTATCTGCTCCATAGCCTTGTCATCAGAATGTTTAGAAGTATTGAGACATTGTGTAAGTTGGAATTTGTCATCATTTATTGACAGAATCAGGTTTCTCGACATATACTATTTTGGTTTTAAGCAACGACGTAGTACACAAACAAAACTCTTAAACCTTGTCAAGGAAATTTTACTTGGAGTTAAAGATAGTTGTTGTACGATTGTTGTGTTTTTTGACTTACTCAGGCTTTTTATTCGGTGAGTCACTCTAAGGTTTTTATTAAGCCTCGTACACGAGGATATAAGAATAAGACCCTAAAGCGGTTTTAGTCTTATCTAGTGAATAAAAAGTAGCTAGGTTGGCAAATGAAGATATTAGTGCAATTGAGAACTGGGCTAATGACAATGAACTGCCCATTCATCGAGCCCAAGTCGTAGCAATGAATATAGGTAGTCATACTTCTTTCTCGTACTTGGATACTGACGCTACAGAACAGATTAGAGTTTTAGATAAGAATATTGGGGTATGAGCCGAAGCTTAATATTTTAAGAGCTTGTTTATGTCATGATTCATCCTGATCAGCTCATATCAACCACATCCCCACAAAAGTTTACTATGCTCAAGGAATATTGTAACAACGTTGTTACTTACTTACATTGAAACTCCGCAAGCATCTCATTAAATTTTTAATAATACCTTACATTCTGCAGTTTACCATTCTCTCAACAAAAATAACGAATTAAGGCTGTAAATATTGTAAGATGCCTGTGTAAGGTTTTTCGTAGGTTATATTCCTTTTGATGCTCATGTTTTACACCATCGTCTCAGGCTTCACTGGCTTACACCCAAAAGTTACCGTGAATACATAACAGCAGCATTCCTATATACTATAATTACTTATAAAGATTCAGTAGTGATCTCTCATTTTTTTCTCTTTGATCTTGAATATATTTGCATCATTTAGCTAAATGTTGAAAAAAGTCTTTCACATCGGTAACTACCACATACAAGCTATGTTAGAGTCCTTTATCGTCGTCTCAGCCCATTAAATAAATAGTCTTCCTCACCCAGACTTAACTAGTGATGCTTTGCTTCGATATGAAAGTGCTTTTTTCAGGATTTATTGATCTGTAATATTATTAAATGGAATACCACATGGGTACACACTAATGAAGCGTACGATCGTTCTGTATTATAGGTAATATTGGTTGTATTGTTCATATTGTATTACTTAAAACTAATAATAACTTGTGTAAGCACTGATTGACTTCACACGACATCCAAGAAATAAAAAAATTAGGTGTACACGTAGTTTCGTATAATTCTGTACGACTGTAAACTAATTTAACAGATAAACAGTGATTGATTAATAACTAGGAAATATCCTATATTGTTGGCAGTAGTCCGTCTACATTGTAACTCTTACGTTTTATTTGATTACTTTTTTTTCAGAGCTATGTTTTATCACTAATTTTTGTAGCTCTAAAATTCATTCATTATTGCATTAATCTCCATGTCTTAAAAAAAATGTAATAATGTTATGCAATGTCATCATCTACATTCCTGCAATGTAATAATGTAAACTGGCCAGATTGCATATCACTCTACAGCCCAATAAATAAGTCTAATGCTGCTTAATTGCGTCACGTGCAGCGTCTCGTAGATCTAAATGTCCTTTTTCATTTCGTATGAATCACAAGGCCATTTTGATTGATTATGGCTTATAGTTCTCTGACACATAATATTACTCATAATAACTCTCAATCTTTGAAGCTGTAACCTGAGGGTATAGAATTAAGCATAGTTAATAAGAATTGGCATATTCTTTCTATAAGTTAATCAAGGCTTTAATTTGACAAACATCTCAAAAAGTTTCATATCTATAGGCTATTGTTTGTTACGATTTGACAGGATTAGAGAGTTTGGTTAAGAAATTATTACTTACATACATTATTCCATACCTTGTAGTGAGGTTGTTCATTCTACTCAGAACAAGATTTCTTCGTTGTATCTTGAGTACATGCTATGAAGCTTAATATTTGGCGTAAAATAGTACTGTGAAGTTGTGTACAATCCACTATAGTTTTATTGTTTGTTAAATGTTGAGGAGTCAGTCTTTAATTGTGTGGTACATATAGAATCCTTGATTTAACTAGAAAATTAACTTCAATTTATCAAGGTTTTATACGCTGTCTACAAAACTTAGTGCCGTTCTGACCACTTCCAGTCCTTACAATCCGATTACGATTGTTCCTTTTGATCGAACCTTTTGTACTGAATTTTCTGCAAACACGATTTTTTATGTACCCACAAGTATTCTGGAGCTAATTAATGTCGAAAGACAATTTTATGCTCCTTGAATATTAAATCATAGTGTACTGATAATCCAAATCTGTTGCTTGGACTCTGATTTTGTAATTCAGTACACTTTTAATTTTAGGTAAGTTATCTCATAGTTTGAGCCATAACGACTTTGTACGTGATCTAAGAGCTATCAACTAGGGCCCATGAACCTGTTATGTTGATGTTAAGTCTGAAGTTAGTTGATGTTAAG